GTCGTCACGAGCCGCAGGGTTTAATTTGGATTTGTCTGTGCATGTTTTTTTTACTCTCATAGATTTTGTTACCATTGCCATGCATTATACGACTGATAGACTGCAACGGCTGGACTTAAAAATCATAATTTGTGTTCTACTGAAGAAACAAAGTCACCTACATCTTGGATGCCCTGGGGGTAAGCAGATAAACATCAAATTTTCATTTTTGGGTGAACTATCCCTTTAACTGATCAAAACATTAGGTACCACAAGATAGCTTTGTGATCAGTTCTCTGATCTTGCTGGTTTTTCGTATGCTGAACTTGATCTAGTAATGTTTAACCACACACCCTCTCTTATTTTGCTCAAAGGCAGAAAATGTCCAAACCAAGTGCAACAAGCACACTTTAAAATGTCATTTCAAGTGTAAAAACATTTCTTACGAAAGTAGCGACTGCCTCCAGCGAGCATGTCCTTCTTGCTCAAAAGGAATTTTTCAGCATGCTTGTTTATCAAAACTTTTCCACATGGAACCCCAAAGAAGTGCTCTGAAGCAGCGCTGTGCAACAGACTGTGAACGCCAATAAAATCAAAGTGAATATTGAGTGTCTTACTGATTTGCAATTTCTAGGCAAAAGCAGCAAATCCTTCAGCTCCATGCGAGGATCAGGGAAAACGAGTTAAGGGCGCAACAAGTCCTCCAAAACCAGAGGGGTCGCTATGATGACTCATATCTGCTCAAAGCTAAGGTACTAGAATGAATAAAATAACATAATACTTTTATAGTGAGATTAAAAATGGTCACTTACCTACCGCTGATGCCTCTTTCCACTATTTGAGGACTCTCCGTATGACAGTCCGGTATCCAGCCAGAGTCCGAAGTCCCAGCTGCCGGAGCGCGTGAGTCCACTGTGCCGTGAGAACGGAGAGCTGGGCCGTAAACTAGCTGCGGCAGAGCTGGAGGTCATCCACCTCAGCGAATTTCTCAAACAGAACACACAGAAATACACTGAAGATATCAAGAAACTGGAGGAGAAGGTGAGGGCTTCTAATTATCTAACTTCTAAACGTCTGTGGGGCTAAAATATTTGGGTCTCATTCGCTTATAATTGCATGGATTATTTTGGATTTGTATGCACAGAACAATTTCTTATGAATAAGTACGCCTAATTCAGCAGATGTGCGTACACACATGAATTTCTTCTTAACCTCGTTCTAATGTTAATGAATTTTGAGTTTTGTAATTAAGCAACTGCATGCCTGAAGTTAGTTATTTGCGTAAAACACGCCCAAACCATCAAAACCAAATTACAGACCTCTTATTAGCCAGCTGTACATTATACTATGTGAGAAATATAGTATGATATTATAAAGACAGCAATAAAATAAATACAAAAAAATATTAAAAGTTTTGCCATTGTACTAAAACCAAAAGAAGTGTGTTTGTTTGTTTGTTGTTGTTGATTTTCTTTTCAAATGTACAGTCATTTCTTTCTAACTAGAAATAAAACAATTACAATTAATCTCATGATTTCAGATTAATTATGTACAGTACTTATTTACATTTTTTAGAAACGTTCTCAGAAATAATTTGGCTATATATATATATATATATATTTGTGCTGTCAAATCGCATCCAAAATAAAAGTTTTTGTTTACATAGTATATGTGTGTGTACTGCATATATTTGTGTTATAAATATATTTAACACATACTGATAAAAAATGTATAGCCTGAATGCACTGTAAGTCGCTTTGGATAAAAGCGTCTGCTAAATGCATAAATAAATACACACCCATGCATGTATATATTTAAGAAAAATATGTTACGTTTATATATTAAATATATTTATATATAATATAAATTATATGAATATAAATATATACATGTAAATATTTTCAAAATATATACTGTATGTGTGTATTTATTAGGGGTGTAACGATTCATCGATATGGATCGATTCATCGATACGATGTCTGACGATACAATGCATCGATGCCACACGTAAAATATCGAAATCTGTAGTATAAATAGGCACCTTTATTTTGGCACTGTCCGCATTTTCATATAATGTCCGTCTATGCATTACCGCCAACGCGTGCTTTCTCGTTCAAACTCACGTATCAGGACTCGATATAAGGACTGCCGGAAGGCACAAGGTGAGCATAAAAGACACTCGGGATTGTTGGCGGAACAGTCGAGCACTGTGTGAGAAGTTTTCTGCGCACACATCTGAAGCACACGAGTTCACCATCGCACACAGACAGCCGTGTCTACACCGTGCGAATACTAAATTGAGCTCTCTTCCGCGTTTTTTGTGCATGGATGAATAAATACAGACAAAATGACATCAAAATGTGCGTTTTGGCGAATATCCTAGTAAACACAATTGGTTAGGCATATGTCTTAACCTGAACAGTTGAGAAAGAAAAGGCATGTGTATCAGTATATTAAATCCGTGCTTCGTTCTTAAAGTGAAAGCAAACTAATAATAAATCTAATGCTGTCAAAGAAAAATACAAGTGCTCACTGCTCCGGACTAAATAACCTTTGTAACATCAAAAATGATTAATCTATATTAATTTATACAGTGAAGACTATGCATTTATTTTACATTTGATTATTACATTTCTGTAGCGTACCTGAAAATTTATTTTAGACTGAGCTGAAAAACCTGAAAAGCACTGTTT